CCATTTAAACATTCTTGTTGAAAGAATTAAAGACAATATATATATAAAGTGCTTAACCAAAAAATGCATACAATAGAGGCATATTTTTTAATTTATTTTTTTAACAGAGGCATATTTTTAATGCTGATTTTCAATCCATAGTTTCAGTGCCCCACACCACACCAGACACATATTAGACATTCAATATATTGTTAAATGAATGACATCATACTTGTCCCAGTCATCCTCATTTAATAAATAAACAGATATATTTTGTAGCCTTTTTTTTTTTTTAACAGAAAAGGAACTTGTTTCGATACCTACCATCCCAGAAACAGGTCACAGCATTATTATGTGGGCCTTTTAGATGGATTCAGATGTTCCAAAAAAGAATCGATAGCAAGATTTTTCTCACATTGTATAATATTTTCAGTCCTCTGAATACTACTTTTTAAAGTTCTTTGAGTTCTGGAATGCTTAAGAAAATGCTGAGCAATTTACACAAGATGGAAATTTAACTGCATTTGAGGACTGAGTTCTATATAAAATATAAATGTACTTTCTCTAACTGTCCTAAATAATAACAGCATTGAAAGGAGCTACAAACATTAATTTCTAAAGGATATGGCAGGGACTGGTGGCTAAATTATTATTTCTAATCCATAACTGTATTTCTAAGCATTTTCTATAAATATGAACTTGTAGTGGCGTAAAAAAACTGCATTTGAAGTCAACCTCCAAAAAATGCCTTTTAATTTTTTATAGTGTTTGAGAAGAATACAAAATTGGAAGAATTATATATTTTTCTTATTATTACTATAAAAGCTTCATTGAAATAAAGTATGACTAGAGATTAACTGAGAGCCTGAGCAGAAAAGAAGGAAGGAAGAAGGAATTAAGTGGTATTTATAAGAGTTTGCTTTTTTGTATTAGTTGGATGGATTGTTTGGGAAAAGACCAGAAAGTAAAAGAGTACAATGACAGAGTGTATTCGATTTTTTTTCTTGTTGAGTTTATTATAGTCACTCATATTGAACTGCTGATTTCAATTAGGGATGATTAGCCTGTGAAAACATGTGTACTGCTGGTATTTAGAGCATTTCAAAAATGATTCAGTGAATCACTAGATTACATGAACAGGATATGGATTCTGTAGAAATGCTATTTGATGTCTATCTACGTATGTTTTAGTTTAGCCGTTATATATGTTTTAGTTTAACCACTGAGATGCCAACCTTAGATCGGATATGGTAGCTTTCTTAGAATAACAAACCACAGCATATAACTAAGTTAGGACAGGATGAATTCAAAAGTGTTTGGATGAGCTGGGGAAAATGATAAATGATGTATTATGATATTTAAATCCCCATCTGGCCAACTTTGCACTTTATTTCAAACAGCTGTAGACCATTTGGAAGCCATTTTGTAGCTCAACTGAGTACTAATATTTACTGTATGAATCACATATCTTTAAAATATTTGTCTTTCCCTGAGAGAGAGACCATTTCTTTCCCAAACTTAACTTTGATATAAATCAGACCCATCCTCCTAGGTTAGAAGGTTTGATCACTGCCGTGGGTTGTTCATTGCCAAAGGCAGTCAGCACCATCGTTGGTTTCTTTACTAGTAAGTAGACTTTCTCCCTCCGTGAACAGAGGCTTTGAAACATTTTTGTTGTTGTTAATCCTCACCTGAGGATATTTTTTTCCATTGATTTTTAGAGAGAGTGGAAGGGAGGGGGAGAGACAGAGAGAGAGAAACATTGATGTGAGAGACATAGATCAATTGGTTGCCTCCTGCACGTGCCCCTACCGGCACCAGGATTGAGCCTGGAACCAAGGTACATGCCCTTGACAAGGATCAAACCCATGACCCTTCTGTCCATGGGCCAACACTCTAAATACTGAGCCAAGATGGCTAGGGTGCTTTGAAACATTTTTGAGAAATTTTTTAGTGATGATTTTTAAATATGTTCTAAAGTAAGAATTTCCCACTTCACCTATATGTTGAATATGCACATATTTGTATCATTCTCTCATACATTTGAGGTCTTTCTTCAGACATTTCCAACAAATTTGGAATTGAAAAAGCATTCTCATAAAATGTTAGGAAGACATACAGTATAATATTGGAACTATTAGATAGTTCTCAAAGGTGGAGGTCCAAACTACTGTTGAGGAAACTTGACTCAGATTTTAATTCCGATCTCGGCTACTCTCCTTTAAACTCAATGATGGACATATACCTCCTGATATTACTGCCCTTTGAATCCTCCCTGTATATCTGCAGTCATTCGGGAAAGAATGGATCCATCAATCCACGTAACATGAAGTGATGAGTTTTCTCTTTAGTAAAGTGGTATTTAGGCACTTGTGTGATGATCCAACATAGCCAATCATCAATAGCCAATAGGGAGCCATTTGTAGAAAACAGGGCACTCTGAATGCTAGTCAGGCATCTCGTAACAACATCGATCCCCAAGTGAAACCAGGGGTTACATATTCAGCCTGAAATACATTGCTAGCCACCTTTCTCCTATGGTTGTTAATCAACAAATTTCAGGAAAGTTAACACTTTGTGAGGTGTTGGGGTAGCACCTTAGTCACACTGTTGCTGTTTCAGTAGAAACCAAATGCAAGAACGAGGATAGATGCTACGATCAGGCCATCTGGCCACCTGTCTGAATCTGCTGCTACTAAGAAAATGATGCTTTTGGCAATGCTGTGGGTGTGTTCTCTTTGCCTTTGGAAGTTAAGCCAACCCCAGTTAGCTGCCTGGGGGTCAGATGGAGTAGCATATTAATAAAAACATAAGTGCTTCAAGCATACAAATGCATTACTACCATCAACAATATACAGTATTTACTAAATATTTGCTTTAAAGTCCTAAATAGGATTTCTATGTGTGTGGGAGAGAAATCCTCTAGAAATATTTTAAGGTATTAAACGTAAATGTAAACATTGTCAGCTTAAGCTCGTTAATTATAAATTATGTCTCAAAGAAGATGGTTGAAGAAAAGACTAGAAACAGCAATCTGTCTCTCAAGGTGAAAACAAATCAATAAAAAGCAGAGAGCTTTGGGTTTCTGATTGTGGCTGAAACGAGGCATGTCATATACATGGGTGGGTCATATTATTCAAAGGCATTTGCTGTACCCTAGTGTTATTTGTTTACACGTGCAAATTTCCAAAAAAGACTCTGCATTTGACTTCCAATAATTAGCTCACTAAATTTGGAATACTCTTGTTCTTAAGCCAAAGAATTTATTGGTTTATTTATTTTTTAAAAAACAACAACTTTTAAGTCTCTTGAGTTTCATATTTAGTAAGGATGGCACAATGGTTATACGGTAATATTGTATGAATTCCTAATTGTCTTATTAAATTGCCTTTCATTACATCACAATGCCAAGAATAAAAGTCTAGGCTGCAGACCTCCCTAAAAGAAGAGCACATTTATTTCATAGGGACCTTTATAATTCTGTTCACAAGGTCAGTCAATTGTTTACCTTAAGTAAAATGTTCTGCTTTAATTAAAATATTCATGAGTAAATAATATTTTTCTCGATCTTGAATTTCACAGTTGGGGACTGGGCTCCGCATACCCTCTTTGGCATTCAGCACCATAAATTGACCTCTGCTGCCAACTTTGGCAGATATTTGGTCAGACTAATTCCAAAGCCACTTTTAAGTCCTTAATCTGTGTCTGTTTTTGAGTTCAGCATGAAAAATATTAGCCAAACCTCCTTCCCTGCTGTAAAATTCAAGATGTGGGAAATTTAAAATAGTTGTTGATAAAAATACACTTCTGTTTACACAGTCAATGATGAAAAAGAGTTTGCTCTTTAAGGCTGATTTCAAAAGATGGTTAAAAAATGATTCCAAAGGCTTGAAAGAATTGACATAATAGTAGCAGACAACCATGTGTGTTCACTTTGCTAATCTTTCATTTTCGTCTCTAATGACTCCTTCCCGTTTAACTTAGCGAGGTGACCTTTAGCATAGCAGCAAGTCTTTTTTCAGTACTTTTGCTCAATTTAAGAGGATTTTACTTTTATTTTCAAGATGATCCCCTCTGAGAAATGAAAACTTTTGCAAACTGAAATTCATTTCTGAACATCTTTACCTTTTCACCATGAGGAGTCCACAGATCCATGTCATCAGTGTTTTCATTGGGAAGGACGTGACCAGAGAAGGCTGCCGGGCAGGGCATGCACGCAGTCCTCGGCCACTCAGGGTCCCATCCCACCCCCAAATGTGTCTGTGACCTCCATCGCCAATTCCTGAGGCTTTGAAATAGAACCTTAAGGCTCAAAATTTTTAAATAGTGATGAGCCTGCCAGCTCCAATACCTTTGATTTACTTATTGGACATCATTGGTCATCGCTAAACTCTGTCCTTGTTTTTATATTGAGCATGGAACGTATATATCAGGATTAGAATGCACTGTAGGATTATCTGCTCATATATAAATGTGAATGGCTTCTTTACTCCTGTGTGGTTTCCCTGGGAACCTTCATCAATCGTATCTTTCTGAGCCAACTACCTCTACTCTCAAAGTAAACCAGATAAATCCTTTCATATGCTTTATGTAAAATGGAAAATTTTATTGTTGTTAATCTTCTTCTTATCTAGCCTATTGTCATGCTTCTTAAAAATCTGTTTCAGGAACAGAACACAATC